GCCCCGCATTTCAAGGGGGCCCCCGATCGCCGACCATTTAAACCAACCAGAATGTTAATATTAATAGCTATAACACGAAGCAACCTCTCTCCATTCTAGAGACCTGCACGGACCTCAAATTTAGGCCCTAGCCCGTCCCTGACCTGAGATGCTCAGACCCTAGCCCGACCCGTGTCCGACAGTTTATCAGAATTCCTGGCCTGAGTCCGACCCGAGACGTCTTTATTTCCCCTTCTCCCAAAACAGCTTATAGGCCTAATTCTGTTCCAAAATAATTCAGTTTTGTATGTAATGGCAAAGTGATTATATTTCGTTTCGTTTTTTTATTGTTAACTTAGAAAAACGTTTGTTAAACTTTTTTTCTCTCTCTCCAGATCGTGCCAACATGCACACACACACACACACACACACACACACACATACACACACACACACACACATACACGCTTCTATCTAAATGCCAAACTGAAGTTCAGCCTGAGCAGCATAGCGGGACTCAGACACTGTGTATTATTCTCGAAGGGCTTATCTTAACAAAATATAGAAACCGCAACAACAAAAAGAACACAAAATACAGTCCTTGTGAGCCTAAGTTAAGTGATTCAGTGTTTACTTGTATTGACCCATGATGTGCTGTAGACGCAGAATTAACTCGAGACACTCTCTATTACTCTCACAAATTAATTTTGGGGGGCTTCATCTCATAAGTGGCCTTCGAGATATTTCACACACAAACACTTTCTTATAGTCTATGGTAAATAACATAACTGTGGCTTTCATTAATGAATTGTGAGGTAATTCTATTATTGTAAACAGTAAATTATTATGTTCGGCTATCCTGTTTTACACGTGTAATTGAGATACTTCACAAGCACACATATAATACAAAAAATTTAATAATCAAGCCTGTAGAAAATACAAAGGTATAGAAAATAGATATAAAGATTAAAAATAAAGATTAAATAAAAAGTAAAGATTCATTCATTAACCATTAAGATAAATTGAACTAAATAATAGCCAAATTTATTAAAATAAATGAGAACAGCTCCAAATGAAAGGTGTCTGGATGAAGCAGCTATTAGATGTGGTGAGAAAAGTAGCCTACTTTGTGATTTTGAGTTAACAATATGCTCAAATTTGAAAAGGATACAGATGAGTGCTTTATAAAGGTAACACTTGTGAAAATGCGGCAAACATTTAAAAACTAGTTCACTCTGCTCAACAGCCAAGTAGTATACAGTCTAGTGTTCTGCTGTGCTGCACTAGAGGTCACAGTGAGCACTAGATTGAGGAGCAGTGCTGATGCTCGCAGCTCTCGTCGGGTGCAGTGGCGCGCGCCTGTAATCCAAGCTGCTGGGAGGCTGAGGCTGGCGGATCGCTTGAGTTCAGGGGTTCTGGGCTGCAGTGGACTATGTTGATCGGGTGTCCGCACTAAATTCGGTATCGATATGGTGCTCCTGGGGGAGCTCGGGAGCACCAGGTCGTCTAAGGAGGGGTGAACCGGCCCAGGTCGGAGACGGAGCAGGTCAAAGCCCCCGTGTCGATCAGTAGTGGGGTTGCACCTGTGAATAGACACTGCAGTGCAGCCTGAGCGATACAGCGAGACTCAGACTTTTGCATTGTTTTTTTGGAAACTGTTTATAATAGACAAACTCAGAGGTGAAAACATTTTATAATCAAACTCATGATCCACGTCTTGATTTTAACATGGCAAAATGTAGCACTTCTAGTAATAATGCATCCATCTGGAAAAGATGTGAAATGTCGAGAAGTCTGTCCAAGATATATAATAGCATTTTCTGGCCAATAGGCGGCGCACGAGACAAGCAGGCAGGTCGAAAACTGAAATTGTTGAGCATAAAAATGAAAAATAAAGTATTTAAATTATTTAATTATGCTGAAAAATAAATACATCTCTGAAAATAAATAGATAATAAATACTACTCCTTATAAAGTGTAGTGATCTATGTGATCTGTATGACATTTTCTGGTCTCAAGAATGTGACTGCCATGTGTTTTGTGCCATTTAAAATTTTAGACCATAGTGTTATGTGAAAAAAAACAACACATGTAGGACATTTTTCTTGACAGCACTTTTATTTTCAGAGACAGGTTTTTCTCACATACAAAAACACAACAGTGAGTGTCTTTCGATGTTTTAAAAATAACACATTTCCTTGTTCCTTGTCACAAATTGTGTATTAACACTCATTTAATATGAAATGTTTGCATGTGTTTGAATACTGTCTCACAAAACGACATGCTGTGCCTTTAGTAAGTACGGTGTGAAGTGGAGGTGGTTTGCTTTATTTGGATTGTTGGTCCACCAGTTTTGATAATGTGGGAACCACCAGAGGATTGAGATCCACCAGATGTGATAATGTGGGACCCACCGGAGGATTGAGATCCACCCGAGATAGTGATAAAGCCACCTGAAGGACAAGAGAGAAACATTAATGTGTAATGTACAACATCCACTGCCTGAAACTGACAATTCTACCACAATATATAAAGAGAGATTTCAGTTACCTGGAATTTGAGTCCTGGAAGAGCAGGAGAAAGAAAAAAATTAATTAGTGAAGCTATTCCTGGGCAAGATAATATAACATAGTCCATGCTCCACTGATTTGAACTCACATTAACGTTTATAAAGGAATAAACTTACTTAATGTCTTGATTTTCCAGGAGGCTCCTGTAGGTGGCAATCTCCTGCTCCAGACGAGCCTTGATGTCCAGCAACAAGGCGTAATCTCGTCCCTGTTGCTCAATGCTCGCTCTCAACTGAGCCAACTCGGCTTCCAGCATGTTGATTTGGTTCTGGTACCCTGCTAGCATAGAGCTGTACCTAGCCTCTGTTTCCAACAGTGAGTTTTCCAGTGCTGCTTTCTGTTTGAGAACATGAGAATAACACGAGAATAAAGCATCATTGCTCTGCTTTCTTCAAGTCTTATGCTATATTTTCCTTCCTTTGTTTCAGATAATGTATCTAATCTCTCTCACTCTACATTCCACTTGTGTCTCACCATGCTGAGTTGAGACTGTAGCTCGATCTCCAGACTCTGTAAGGTGTTTCGCAGCTCTGTGACCTGTGACCTGGACGTTTGAATGATCTCTGTGCTGTGGGCCACCTCTTTGTTCAACCCTGCCGTCTAAACAAAAGATAAAAACACTAGATCACAATCCAGGCACTACGTCAAGTGATTATTCAGTGAAGTCAGGAGTCTTGCAGTATGTTTGATAGCAAAGTAGAATTCACAACCCGTGGATTCAAGGAGACAGAGGATGTCTTACCTTGTCTTTAAACCAGTCTTCCTGTTCCCTGCGGTGTTTCTGAATGATGTTCTCATAATGAGCACGGACCTCCTCCAGAACCTTGTTCAGGTCTTGCTGAGGAGCAGCATCAACCTCTACGTTCACTGTGCCTGTGAGCTGTGACCTCAGTGCAGCCAGCTCCTGTAATACCACAGTATAATATATTATAAAATAATAGTCCAAGCATTTAGAATCAGTTATACATAGATGATCTATCAGAAAACTACTGCAAACCTCCTGGTGGTTCTTCTTCATAAATGCCAGCTCTTCTTCCAGACCCTTGATCTGCATCTCCAGGTCGGCCCTTGCCAGGATCGTCTGGTCCAGCAAGCGGCGCAGGTTAGCGATGTCAGACTCCACACACTGCCGCATCACCACCTCATGCTCATATCTGATTGGGGGAAAGGTGACATAGAAAATATAAACACCATTCATTGTTTAAACACAACCAATGTCATAAATACTTGCTACAGTTTTTTTTTAGCATTTTTGTAAGCAAGTCTCTTATGCTCACCGAACTTGAATGTATTTGAACAAAAATACAGCAAAACCGTAATATTGAGATTTTAAAAACTGTTTTCTAATGTAATATGTTTTAAAATGTAATTTCATTTCTGCAATGTCAAGGCTGATTGTTTTCACAGCCATTACTCCTGTCTTTGGTGTCAGAATCATTCTAACATGCTGATTTGCTGTTGTGCTGAAACAGTTGTGTGACTTACTTCAGTCTGAAGTCATCAGCAGCCAGTTTAGAGTTGTCAATCTGCAGGAGGATGTTGGCGTTGTGGATGGTAGCATTTTTAATCTGAAATGTAGAATATGTAAACACTTACAGATGTGGAGACTTTATATGGGCATATCATCAAACTCTAAGAACGCAAGTAATGATCTGTGATCTCTTTTTCAGCTGCTATATGCAAAGGTATCATTGCACTAGAACTTGCTAGTAATGTTTCATATTCTTTCAGGCATCACTGTACCTTGTCCTTAAGGTCCTTGATGGTGTTCCAGTAGTGGCTGTAGTCCCTCTGTGCAATTGGCCCTTTCTTCTCATAGTACTCGCGGATCTGCCTCTCCAGGATGGCATTGGCAGCCTCCAGTGAGCGCACCTTCTCCAGGTAGGACGCCAGACGGTCGTTCAGGTTCTGCATGGTGGCTTTCTCATTCAGCTGAAAGTCTTTTACAACACAGCCTCCAGGTAATATGCCTGCTCCAAATCCTCCACCAAAACCTCCACCATATCCTCCACCGTATCCTCCACCGTATCCTCCACCATATCCTCCCCCGTATCCTCCACCGTATCCTCCACTGTATCCTCCACCATATCCTCCAATTCTGGATTGCAGTGAGCTGGAAGAGATGCGGGTGCTTCCTCCTAAGCCACCTCCATACATGCTGTAGGCTTTCTGTGGAAAGATCGTGGAACCACCCCGACACTTGGTGATAATGGACTTTGAGGTCACAGTCCTGGGACCTTTGGAGGATGTCGTGCGAACAGAGACCGACATGGTGAATGGATACAGAGATGAGATGAACCCAGAGTGGACACTGCAGGAAACCGTTAGAGTTGTCCAGACGAGGATGGCACCTTTGAGGCCAGCTCTGATCTCTTATAGAGATGCAGATCCAGGGCGGCTCCTGGACTTTGTGGGTGAGTGAAGGAGGTAGGGTGTGTGTGGGAGAGTGTATGTGTGCCAGTCCCAGCTGTCACCACCAGCAGAGTTGAAACTTAAAGACCAGTGTTCAGGTTCCACCCTAGTGAGGAAACTCCAAAGAATTTATGTGTTAACTGTATGTACTCACCCTCAAGACTACAATGGAGGGAGTGCAGTAAGACAATTAAGCTTTCGACACACTGTGTGTATACAAGTTGTGTGTGTGTGTGTGTTTATGAGCATGTGCAAGTGTTTTGTACCAGTGGAGGAAATCTGTTTGACAGTTAGGTGCAGAAAAAGGAGGCTGAGCTGGTCATGTGGGGTTTATAAATTGATAAACTCACCATTTTAATCATAATAAAGAAGGATTTGGCAGACAGGTAGCTCCCTGAGGTGATGTGAGATCATCTGTAGCAGTTTCACCACCCTTTTACAGGTCACACGGATCAACTTGATTACTTGGGTGCCCAGTACTTTTTATTTGATTTGATTTGATTGTGGATGGTGCAGGTGTGCAATATTTGAATATTTATTTAGTATGTAGTCAAAAACATGAGGAAAAAGTACAAAGCTTTCTACTTATTAAAACTAAAAAATAAACTTTCTTTGCTTTAAAACTATCAATGTGTGCAATCTTGTCATAAAGCGTGCAAGCGTGCATCCTGAGACCCTGTGACCTCATCCTGTGACATTATATTTTGGTGTATTTCTCTGAGACTATACATGCCACAGTTTTAAGTCTGGATGTACTGTACAGAGCATATTCAGGGCTTTTCAGAGATACTAAATGTTTGGATGTTTCACCGTGACCACTCACTCTCCTTGGTCTTCAAATATTACTTTAGTGACACTCTTACGGAAATATGATAATATTTTGCAATTATCATTTAAATCTGTATAATTTTTAAACTGTCTGTCATAAATCAACGTCTCAGGAAAATGTTATGGGGTTTCAAATCAAAATGACTTTCTGTTACGAAACAGGATGTTGATTTCATACATGTCCTCATATGAGGACACTGGGACTAAAAGCATGTTTATTAGCATTTTGGGAGACACAACAAATGAATAGGGAAAGAAATTATGTTTCAATATTCTATGAAATATTATATATTATTATGAAAATCTTGTCAAATATTACGCCCACTTCTTTTTTCATTACACGTTGCCCCAAAAACACATTAATATGCAAATTAGATTTAGTTTATAGATACATATAATGTAATGAGAAAACCCGTTCGGTTCTGGGCTGCAGTGGACTATGTCGATCGGGTGTCCGCACTAAGTTCGGTATCGATATGGTGCTCCTGGTGGAGCTTGGGACCACCAGGTCATCTAAGGAGGGGTGAACCGGCCCAGGTCGGAGACGGAGCAGGTCAAAGCCCCTGTGTCGATCAGTAGTGGGATCGCGCCTGTGAATAGACTCTGCAGTGCAGCCTGAGCGAGACTCAGACTTTTGCGTGTTAAATTGAATAATCTTGTTGTTTGTAACAAACTCAGTAGCTCAAACAGAAGTACATGGTGCTAAAAACGCAGGGTCATAATACCGTTAAAACCTTAACTATACCCATAGTCAATATATTCTTACAGTGACAGACTGACGCTTGGGCCATCAATGTTAATCAAACAACAAATGCTTAGTCAAAATCACTCACAGCTCTTAATCTGAATAACGTTATAGCTTTAGTAAACATTAATCTATCAATACATAAAGTGAAAACCATGCAGTGTTCATTTACATTTGATTACTTTTAGATTTCTTTTGTAGGCTATTACTTACCTGAACAGTATGTTAGTAGACCTTCATGGAAAAATGACAGCACTGTTTATTTCATTTCATTTGTATATTTGTTTTACTTTGTTTCTTTGTTCATCTTCTTACTGTATCTTATCTTATGTATAAAAATGCCTGCACACTGGTGCATTTACAAATTGATGTTTTATATTCATTTCATTAAATATTTATTTTACATTTCAGAATATAAAGCAATGTTAATTCAGCTCTTAATTTGTCTATATATATATATATATATATATATAAACCAAAAAGTACAGATAAGAATACCGTTAAAATACCGAATCGATAAGCAGTATCGGTAAGCGTAGTAATACCGTCAATACCTTAACGATACCCATCCCTAGTCATGGGTTTGATTCCCAAAGAAAGCATTTATGGTAAATTGTGCAAATGCATTAAAATGTGAATAATGTGATGAAGAATCAAAAAGAGTTGGTCTTTGTGTGACTATAATAAATAAACTCACATATCAGGACGGTTCTTATTTTGAAGTTTATCTATCTTATAGAAGTTTATCTATCTTATAGTGACCCTCAAAAGCTTTTTAACAAGGTGTACAGCAAATCTTTGGTTACTAATAAAGAATTTTAAAAAAATCTTTGGGACCTTAGCAAACAGTAATATCTTTTCATAGATTTAGCTTCCGACTGCATTTTAGCACTCTGCAGAGACACTTTCTTATAGGATTGTCTGTCTTTTAAAAGTTTTAAATCCTGCAGTCTACAAAATCCGTTGTCAATTATCATGTCTCGTTTCGCTGCCATTTCAGCATGAAATTCAACATTCAAGTGTGATACATTGTTTCCTGTGATTGTGATTCCAGTAGGCCTATAAATGCACTATGCCACACTAACAAGCCAGTGTAAACGTACAATTTCCATTGAGATAAATGTAACAGATAGCTCTTTCCAGGTATTATAACCCTTCTTGCAACAAGCAAAAGAACTGTGTCAAAACTTAAAAAGAAAACAGAAACAGAGTCAGTGAAAACCATTGCTGGATGGGTCTTTTGAATTTTCCAAATGAGAGATTTCATTTTTTTTCAAATGGGAGATTTCATTATATTGTAAATTCAAGCTATTGGTGTATATAATTAAGTTTACAGTAAGAAATCACATAGTGATTTGACAATATCACAGAGCACATTGAGCATACAACACTGCACACTGGCCCATTTTTGGTGAAAGTGCCATACCACACCCAGTTGACAACCTCTAAGTCTGATTGAAGCAACTTGTTTTGAGACAGTAACACAATTTTAATTCTGATTCATAGCATTCCCCGAAGTCAACAGAACTGGAACCAATCAAACAGTAAAATCTCAGCACATCTCATCAGTCAGCATCTGAGCAAAAATAATACCACACCTATGTCTGCCAATGAGTCTGCTTTCATGTAGAGACAAAGTTGAAAGTTATTTTGTACTATTTTCTCTCTACATTTCACTAACTCTTCTGTTCTTGTCTCTTTATGAAGATTACTGGTCATTACATGACCAGTTGCTTCCTGCAAATCACATAAATGTAAGCATAGAACATATTTGACCTTAATAATAAAGTCAAGATACATGGACGTAAAAGCCAAATAGCATTTTTATTCATCAAATAAATGTGTATGTACATGTCTCTCTTTCAATCTCTTTCTCTTCTGCACATATTTTCCTCTATATATAAATGTTCTTTTATCCAGTTACACAATTGGAATTGTTTATGAGGGTCAAAGGTTTTTACTGATAAAGGAAGTCAATGGTCAGCCAGCTTTTATGACCTTCCCTTCACTGCTTTTGTGATGGATCTGTTGCCAGGCAATATATACACTATTGTTGTGAGGCTGTTATGGAAGGAACCCATGAATAACATTGGGAAGAATGAGACTACTGGAATACTGTGGCACCACACTACAGTCTAAATATGTCAGGAATGTGAATCTCCCATTTTATTTTGCATTTTGAAGTAGACACCAGTTTTTTACTCTTTAATGTAAAAGAAAGAATATAGTGTTCAGATAAAGACAGCATGACAGCAGCTTTATTTTCAGAGACTTTAGGTTTTATCACACATAAATGAGTATCATCATCTGTTTTTCTTTTGGTAACACTTTTTCTCAATATTACTTCAGTAAACTTTCAAAACCAAATGTATGTGTGTGTCCAGATGTTGTCTCATAAAGCAGTGTGCTCTGCATTTAGAAGTTATGCTGCTGTTATGGAAGGAACCCATGAATAACATTGGGAAGAATGAGACTGTTTATTTCCCTCATACTTTTTTTTTAGTGATTACTGTAAATGAGTGTTTTCAAGTAATGGAATACTGTGGCACCACACTACAGTCTAAATATGTCAGGAATGTGAATCTCCCATTTTATTTTGCATTTTGAAGTAGACACCAGTTTTTTACTCTTTAATGTAAAAGAAAGAATATAGTGTTCAGATAAAGACAGCATGACAGCAGCTTTATTTTCAGAGACTTTAGGTTTTATCACACATAAATGAGTATCATCATCTGTTTTTCTTTTGGTAACACTTTTTCTCAATATTACTTCAGTAAACTTTCAAAACCAAATGTATGTGTGTGTCCAGATGTTGTCTCATAAAGCAGTGTGCTCTGCATTTAGAAGTTATGCTGTGTCTTCTGGATTGTTGTTGTTCCACCTGTGGTGATGGTGACAGTTGCACCTGAAGGCAGAGAGAGAGAGAGAGTCAATAATGCAAAATTTCATGCATTCACTGTCGTACCTTACCTGAAACCGTCCATCCCACTTCAGTATGCAAAGAAAGAATTACCTGGCATTTGAGTTCTGGAAAAAGAAAAAGAAAAGATGCATTAGTGAAGCAATTCCAGGACTGAATGACTTAACATGATCCATGCACCACTTTTGATACACAATAACTCTGACAAATAAAAGAAATGAACTTACTTAATGTCTTGATTTTCCAGGAGGCTCCTGTAGGTGGCGATCTCCTGCTCCAGACGAGTCTTGATGTCCAGCAACAAGGCATATTCTCGCCCTTGTTGCTCAATGCTAGCCCGCACTTGACTTAGCTCAGCTTCCAGCATGTTGATTTGGTTCTGGTAGCCTGCTAGCATAGCGCTGTACCTAGCCTCTGTGTCTGCCAGTGAGTTTTCCAGTGCCGCTTTCTGTGCAAATAACGAGAACATGCAGAAATAGGTCACAATAAAGTGCTGTTGTTTGAAAGATCTCTATTTTCATGAAAATCAAATGGATTGGAACAACATTAGGGGGCGTGATGACTAGAAAAACACAGAAATACACCACCAAGAAGAAAGTCCACAAATGAACCCTTCAGATCTCCAGAGTTATAAATGGCTTCTCATTCCTTTCATTGTACCACACCTACTTCCTGGGATTTGGAGGACTTCATAAAATAAAGCATTCTTGACATATCTCACCCTCTTTTTCATCTGTTTCTGGATCCTTTCTTGGCCTGCTTTCCTAACCTTTTAAGTAATATGTGACCCTGGACCACAAAACCAGTCTTAAGTGTCAATTTTTCAAAATTGAGATTTATACATCATCTGAAAGCTGAATAAATAAGCTTTCCATTGATGTATGGTTTGTTGAGAAAATCGCCTTTAAAGTTAGTTATCCAAATAAGTCCTTAGCAATGCATATTACTAATCAAAAATTAAGTTTTGATATATTTACGGTAGGAAATTTACAAAATATCTTCATGGAACATGATCTTTAATTAATATCCTAATGATTTTTGGCATAAAAGAAAAATCTATAATTTTGACCCATACAATGTATTTTTGGCTATTGCTACAAATATACCCCAGCGACTTAAGACTGGTTTTGTGCTCCAGGGTCACATATTTTCCTGAACTTCGGTTCAGATAATGTAATCTCTTGCTCTCCCCCCTACACTTCCTGAATTCCACTTGTGTCTCACCATGCTGAGTTGAGACTGTAGTTCGATCTCCAGACCCTGCAAGGTGCGTCGTAGATCTGTGATCTGTGTCTTGGTTATTTGTATGGTCTCTGTGCTGACGGCCACTTCTTTGTTCAAACCTGCCGTCTAAAAGAGACAGAAACACACACAATATGAATTCAAGTACTGTACATCATAAACTCAGCTGTATTGTTTTACCTCAGTATCACTAGTATAAGATACCAGCTGGAATATGTGGTTGATTCAGTGAAATCAGGGGTCTTGCATTATGTTTGATAACAAAGTAGAATTCACTGATTCAAGGAGACAGAGGATGTCTTACCTTGTCTTTAAACCAGTCTTCCTGTTCCCTGCGGTGTTTCTGAATGATGTTCTCATAATGAGCACGGACCTCCTCCAGAACCTTGTTCAGGTCTTGCTGAGGAGCAGCATCAACCTCTACGTTCACTGTGCCTGTCAGCTGTGACCTCAGTGCAGCCAAATCCTGTAAACCCACAAGGCTTCAGCATCAGGTCTCTGTTTAGCTGCACAAGTTTTAAAAAAAAAAACTACAAGCAAGTTATTACAAACCTCCTGGTGGTTCTTCTTCATAAATGCCAGCTCATCCTGCAGACTTTCAATCTGCATCTCCAGGTCGGCCTTTGTCAGGGTCGTCTGGTCCAGCAAACGGCGCAGGTTAGCGATGTCGGCCTCCACAGACTGCCGCATTACCAGTTCATGCTCATATCTGATTGGTGGAAAAGCAGGATGAGAAATAAACTCACCAATATAAAGCATGATCTTTCAAGATGCTAAAGCTATCAAGCTATGGTTACAGAGGAATGTTATTTGAGAGAACTTACTTTATCCTGAAGTCATCAGCAGCCAGTTTAGAGTTGTCAATCTGCAGGAGGATGTTGGCATTGTGGATGGTAGCATTTTTAATCTGTAATGAAAAGCATTGAGATGCAGTTTTTAATACATTAGTTCAGAACATAAAAGTGGGGCAAAATGTCATAAGGTTGCATGCCAAATATGTCAGACTTTATAACTTTGCAGTCTTTTATATGAGAACAGTATGCAGTGTGTTGCAAGGATTCTCTGTAATCTGCAATCTATTATTTAGCAACTAGATTAGTGCACTAGAATTTGCTAGTCTTTCCTATCATGTGGCATATTCTTTCAGGCATCACTGTACCTTGTCCTTCAGGTCCTTGATGGTGTTCCAGTAGTGGCTGTAGTCCCTCTGTGCAATCGGCCCTTTCTTCTCATAGTACTCGCGGATCTGCCTCTCCAGGATGGCATTGGCAGCCTCCAGTGAGCGCACCTTCTCCAGGTAGGATGCCAGACGGTCATTCAGGTTCTGCATGGTGGCCTTCTCATTCAGCTGCATCAAGTCACTGTCACCACCAACCAAGATTCCAGCGCTGAATCCTCCACCATGTCCTCCACTGTATCCTCCTCCGTATCCTCCACCAAAACCGTATCCTCCACCATATCCTCCACCACCTCCAACTCTGTAAGTAGAGATGCGGGTGCTACCTCCTAGACTACCTCCATACACGCTGTGGGCTTTCTGCGGAAAGGCCGCCGAACTGCTCCGGGTCTTGGTGATAATGGACTTGGAGGTCATGGTCCTGGGAACTGTGGAAGTTGTTGTGCGAACAGAAACTGACATGGTGGATGGATGCTGAGATGAGAAGAACGCAGGGAGGACACTACAGGAAACTGCTGAGAGTTGTCCTGAAGAGGATTGGTGCCTTCAAGCTCAGCTTGTTCTTCTTATAGAGATTGAGCTTTAGGGCGGGGACTGCATTTTGTGGTCGGGAGGGGGGAAGGAGGGTGTGTGCCAGACCCTTCTGCAACCTCCAGTTGAGACTCAAGGACCAGTGTTCAGTTTCCACCCTAGTGAGGAAACTGCAAAGGAATGTCTCTGTGTCTGTTTGAACTACTGCAATCTCCTCACCCTTGAGATTTCAATGAAGGGAGTGCAACAAGGTTACGGGCACTTTGACACACACACACACACACACACACACACACACACACACACGTGTTTATATGTGTGTGCCAGTTTTCCTCTCTTTGTCAGTTTGAAACAGAACAAAGACACTACACCAGTAATGTAAAAATACCAAGTAGTTTTAAGTTCAGCATTTTTGATCAAGCAGTAAGTGAATATAAACCTGGCAGCAACCAAACGTCAGAGTTTCAGAGTTCAAATGGTTGTTCTCAGTCTGCAGATGTGAGAGGGAAAGTCATCATCTAAAGCCATGAGAACACGTGTTGTATGCTGATGGCACATAAAGACACATGGTTCAGTGACAAATAATAGTGTATAAAGAAAAAAATCTTTAAGAAATCAATTTTAAAATGCACGTGCCAAGTTAAATCCGTGGGTTCATGTTGGTTTCATACAGTTTAAAAAAATAAAAAAATAAAAAATTTCCTGCATGTTTGTCACACCCTGTTGGTCTCTCTTGACTTTGATTCTGTCGACAAATTTGTTTTTCCAATTATTTAAACTGTAAAGCAGTTTAAATATGAATATAATATGCAAATATAAAAATATTAAAACGCTTTTGTTTCTTAAGAAATGATGATAAAAAAATATGCATACGCTTTTTGTTTAAATAATTGTATTCTTTTGATTAGTATTTTTTTCTTCATTGTCATATAAGGAAAAATGTATAAGCTTTTACTTGATGCTTCCCCCAAAAATGATAAAAATTCATTTTAATTAATAAATTAAAACATAAACTTATCATAGAAGAGCTATATTCAAGTTATTGCATGCATGAATTTGATATGTAATGTATTTTTGAATATTAATACATCCAGATAAACAATGACCATCATGTCACTGATCCTCATACTGTAATATTTGTATGAAGTTCTGACAATTCTTTGCTTAACATTCAATATTGTTTCTTTTAATAGTAAAATGTATGTTCTTTGAGTAAATATCAGGTCATGCTTATTTGTCATGTGCTCACAACTTTCTGCTATTATGTTGTGGTTGCCAGGGTGTTGTACAGTTGCTAAGGTGTTTTAATTGTTTTTTGTTCATTTCTGTGCTGGTCTAAGCAAGCACTAGTAATAAATGGAGTGGTGTTATTGGTATGAGCAATAGCGGGTAAGAAGCATGAAAAAATTTGACTACAAAATTATATCTTTTGCGTGTTTGTTTTCCTTTTTTCTTTTTTGATTCTTTTACTTTGTGCATGATTTAAGGTCTGTAATTTAGTAGCCTTTTTAAAACATGCACTTAATGTTAACATCTGTTATTCTGTCCATTTCAGGGTGCTATGGGTGGTGGAATTTGAGGTCTTAAGTGTGTAAGCATGTGTTTTGTGTCTGTTGATGCTTGCAGAGGATTTGTCTTGATTGTGGGCTCCCTGGGGGGGATGTGACATCATCTGACCATTTCACCACCACCCTCTTAACAGGTCACATCTGGAACTTTGCATCAACTTGGATACTTCACTAAACAACAATGGAGAGAGAGGAGGAGTGGGGGGTGGGATAATTTATTTTCTCAAGAACAGATATTATGAAACTTTGTTCCTGCGAATTGCATGTTTGTGAATTATTATCATAAAATAAACCCTAAGATGGTTACCAGAACTCAGGGAAAATTTAAATAAATTGACATGAAAAATCGATTGGCACTGATATTATTTTATTATTTCAGAATAAAATGTCTGCAGAGAGATAAAAGAGACATACTAGCAGTATGAAATAAGTTTTTTGGGACAATTATTCAGTTTGGGGGTCGTTATATTGAAATATTTGACCACTGTTGACCAATCAGAATAAAGTACTGTGTAAAAAAATCAGAATATTACCGATATTAAGATACTGCAATAAGAAGGTCAGTTATTTTAAGAAATAATTAAATATATTTTTTAGAGATTTTACCACTACCATGCATCTCCATGACTCCAGATCTGCTTGATCTGCTCTTTTTTGTGTTCAAGTCTGTCTCTGCTGTGAAGGCATTAGTCTGGATGACTCTCATTCATCATGACTCACTGTATAAACAGAGCTCCACCCCACCTCTCTCTCTGTTGTATGAGCTGTCCTCAAAGAGCTCATGGCAGAGTAGATAACAAATATTACTCATGAAAATTAATAAAAATTGGCTGTTCTGTCCAGGCGAGCACCAGCTTTAACTCAGGTATGGTAATAGCCTGCTGCCACCAGATATATAGAGACGATTAATATCACCTATTTTATCTATTCTAATTTTTATTTTGGTTAAGCTATTATTTTATTGACCTGTAATAGTTTACAACATAGTGAAAGTCTAGATAAGTGCTAATTAGAGTGAATTAGAGTGCTAATTATGGACAAATTTGAAATGTACTGTGATGTCACCCACTTCAGACTAAAAAGTTATATATTTATGGGATTTTCAGTGTTATATATGTTATGTGTTATATTTTAAATTGAAAAAAAAGATAAAGAAAATGCACACAAAAGCCACTGTAACACATGATTACTAACTATACAGTTATAATAATGAACACTATATAATAAATAAATAAAAATAGCTGCTCCGCATAGTGGATCACCATCGTTAATTCAGGTGTTAACATCTGTTATTCTGTCCATTTCAGGGTGCTATGGGTGGTGGAATTTGAGGTCTTAAGTGTGTAAGCATGTGTTTTGTGTCTGTTGATGCTTGCAGAGGATTTGTCTTGATTGTGGGCTCCCTGGGGGGGATGTGACATCATCTGACCATTTCACCACCACCCTCTTAACAGGTCACATCTGGAACTTTGCATCAACTTGGATACTTCACTAAACAACAATGGAGAGAGAGGAGGAGTGGGGGGTGGGATAATTTATTTTCTCAAGAACAGATATTATGAAACTTTGTTCCTGCGAATTGCATGTTTGTGAATTATTATCATAAAATAAACCCTAAGATGGTTACCAGAACTCAGGGAAAATTTATATAAATTGACATGAAAAATCGATTGGCACTGATATTATTTTATTATTTCAGAATAAAATGTCTGCAGAGAGATAAAAGAGACATACTAGCAGTATGAAATCAGTTTTTTGGGACAATTATTCAGTTTGGGGGGTCGTTATATTGAAATATTTGACCACTGTTGACCAATCAGAATAAAGTACTGTGTAAAAAAATCAGAATATTACCGATATTAAGATACTGCAATAAGAAAGGGTCAGTTATTTTAAGAAATAATTCAATATATTTTTTAGAGATTTTACCACTACCATGCATCTCCATGACTCCAGATCTGCTTGATCTGCTCTTTTTTGTGTTCAAGTCTGTCTCTGCTGTGAAGGCATTAGTCTGGATGACTCTCATTCATCATGACTCACTGTATAAACAGAGCTCCACCCCACCTCTCTCTCTGTTGTATGAGCTGTCCTCAAAGAGCTCATGGCAGAGTAGATAACTAATATTACTGATGAAAATTAATAAAAATGGGCTGTTCTGTCCAGGCGAGCACCAGCTTTAACTCAGGTATGGTAATAGCCTGCTGCCACCAGATATATAGAGACGATTAATATCACCTATTTTATCTATTCTAATTTTTATTTTGGTTAAGCTATTATTTTATTGACCTGTAATAGTTTACAACATAGTGAAAGTCTAGATAAGTGCTAATTAGAGTGAATTAGAGTGCTAATTATGGACAAATTTGAAATGTACAGTGATGTCACCCACTTCAGACTAAAAAGTTATATATCTATGGGATTTTCAGTGTTATATATGTTGTGTTATATTTTAAATTGAAAAAAAAAGATAAAGAAAATGCACACAAAAGCCACTGTAACACATGATTACTAACTGTACAGTATAATAATGAACACTATATAATAAATGAATAAAAATAGCTGCTCCGCATAGTGGATCACCACCGTTAATTCAGGCATGGAAATGGCCTAAAACAACTCTCACTGTCACTATTCTAGAATCCTTTATTCTAGCTAATTGTGTTAGCCTACTTAGTTACTTCTTATGGAAAGTAATATGTTAATTTTGCGTTACTTTTTCTCATCTGGCCTGGACTTGCTTAATTGTTTTTAATAGCCCTTTCATTTCCTCAGGCTGAAGGAAATGTAAATTCATGCTCAAACAAACCTTTCAGCTGTGCTGCCATTCTGGATTGCATGAATAATAGGATGCACGAGAAGAAAGTTCTTCACTCTTCAACAATAAAAAAAATAAACACAAATGTTATGCTTATCTAAAGTCATTTTTGCTTATTAGTATGGTTGAATTGGATCATCGAGCAACAAAGACATTGGTTAATAAAATGAGATTAAATGCACAAAGGATTTTTGTGTTATTTAACATTTAATTATTGCAGGTTTGCGACATATTCTGAGTACTGTTTTTATTAATTTTGAGGAATACTGAGTCTGTTTTTGTGCAAGGGAGATGAGTAAATGCATGTTCACATTTAGTCTAGAACTACAGTACCAATCATGTTTACACAGCACACACAACACCTCTGCACTTACTCCCAATTTCTCTCAACATGTGAACAGGAGAGCTGTCAGTCAATAAATGGGAAAATAAAGTAACGCGTTAATTATTTGAAAAAGCAATCTGCATTTTCTTGTAAATTAATAAGTAATGGGTTACTTTACTAGTTGCTTGAAAAAAGTAATCTGATTACGTAACTTGCATTACTTGTAATGCGTTACCCCCAACACTGGTAATGAGGCACAGACATATGACAGGTAAAGTATTACCTCATTCACTAATCGTGCA